ATTCTGTTTGATCCTTCAGATCTAAGGGTGCGTTGTGGCTCCCCACGTTTCAGGGGGGAAAAGACCCTTGCCAAACGGTTCCAGGAAGTTCACTTTAGTTTAATTGCTAAAAATCAAACACCATCTTCAGTGCACGTCGGGACCGTGAAAATAAACACGGACACACATCTTTCGCCCTCCACACATTGAATTGAAAAGGCCCGACAACGCACCAACACTGGACTACACGGAAGAACGTGGGCCGCCTTCTCTCTACTTTGGAGGCCTGCTTTATAGAATAGTCTCTCAAAGCGGGCTGGTTTCACCATCCTTTTAGACTATCCCACCATCTCTCAAAATCTGGCTTGTGCCATCAGGCCTGTGGGCACCCCAGAGAAGCGGGAGAATGATTCAGGTGTGGGTTCATAGGGTTTCCCCTAAAATCCCTTGGTATCGTTTTCTTTAAAAAAAATATTTTAACCACAATTATCCCGTTGTGTCGTATTCCTTACTTTGTTCTAGCTTTATTGGTGCGTCGCCCGAGAGTTATATAGACGGGAGGTGAGATAGACCTGATCCATTAAAAAAAAATTAAAATAACATTAAAGCATCGGAAATAAATGGAGGTAAAGACGGGAGGGGTTGTCACCCACGTCGGGGACTCTAACGGGAAGGCTGGCACGGACGCTCCCGCGTGGGGATCCTTGCAACAAGCGCGCCCGTCTGGGACCTGCTAAGTCAAGGAAAGCCGGGAAAAGCAAACAAAAAAAAACCTCCCAGGGATTTTTTTTTTTGCCCGCAGGAGCGCCCCGTTTTCCGAGGCCAACGCCACGCCTCGGATCCCCCGAAAACCACGGGATGGAAAGGCTGAACCGCCTGATCCCCGCACAGATTTCCCCACCCACGAGGTTTCCTCCGAGGGAAACGGCTGCCGGATTTCAACCGCGAGTCTCTCTCTCTCTCTCTCTGTGTGTGTGTGTGTGTGTGTGTGTGTGTGTGTGTGTGTGTGTGTGTGTATATATATACACCCTCTCTCTTCATTATATAAAGATATATAATAAACTCTTTTATTTGTCTCTATCTATCTATCTATCTATCTATCTATCTATCTATCTATCTATCTATCTATCATCTATCTATCTATC